AGGGAGCCTGGGTGTGTTGCCTGCTGTTTCTAGGGTTGCCAGATGCTTGAAACAAAAATACCGAACACCCCCGCCACCCAAAAAAGGGAAAAAATTCTGATGAAAGGGAAAAATAGGAGGGGGGGGGGAAACAAAGTTGTTGAGCAAAGAAAACAAGCAAACAAAAAAAGGGACTCCAAGGACTTAAGCAAAAAACAAAAAAAAATAGCATTAAAACAGCATGTCCCCTTTAAGAGTGAGTGCAGGGATAGGAACAGGGGAGTGGTTGAGCACTAAGACCGCATTTTGTGCCAGCAGCCTTGGGGAACCAGGTAAGCATGGGGACAGGGGGTTGGGGGTGTTGGGGAGCAGGTGCTGAGTGTTTGTAGAGTTGGCAGGTGTCCAGCACTTTCGCCTCTTGGCCAGGGAAAGATTCAGAAAATATCGGATATTTCAGGTGTCTGGTATTCTCTGAATTTTTTTACTGGACAGGAGGTGAAAATACCAGACTGTCTGGGTGAATACCAGACACCTGGCAACCCTAGCTGTTTCCCTTAAGTGCCCCAGCCGTGGGGTGCCCTTCATCACGCAGGACACTGCCTGCATTAAGCAAGAACAAGTGAGCTGTCTGAGCCCTTGTGGCTGTTGGAAAAAAAACATTGAGTTCTTGATGTCACCGGGTGTTGGGTCCCTACTAGGATTTCACCAAGGTGCCAATTGCTGTCTTTGTTACATACCTTTAAAGACTTGGCCCTCTGCTTGTTGGAACACCTGTCATTGAGAGGAGTCAGTCAAGCTGAGTCAGTCCCCACTTTTCAGTGAGAAGGGGCTAGGGACAGGGCATCTCACAGAGAAGTCATTACCTTGGTCATATGCTTGTCCTTTGCCCTAGCACAGTGTTTCTGAACCTTTTTTTTTTTTTTTATAAAGTACTCCTTTTAAAAAAATTATAAGTATCACCAGTCCCTACACTTTTAAGACACATTTTTTTGCTACCATTGCAACACATTTGTTTAAACAATTTAATTGTAGCTGGGCAGGCGATGAATTTTTGGGGTGTGAAAAGCAGAAAAATAATAAAGCGCTATAAAATGTAAAACAAAACTTCAGCTTTCTCCAAAATGCAGATGTGTTGACCACCCCCACAACCCGCCAGACTTCTCTCAAGTACAGTACTACTTGTACCACAGGTTGAGAAACATTGCTCTAGTAGGCTCTGAATTTGGTGGCCTTGAAAGCAACTGCAAGGTTAATCTGTTTCCCTAAGTTTTTCAAGGAGAGTGTGGGAAGGACATAACCTTGATGGGGAGAAATTAAGGTGAGAGTGATGGTGAGGTGGGTTTTATTGTGGTTAGTGCGATCTGTTGATTTCTCTGAATGTGTTTGGGGCAGGCGCTTGTCATACATGGAAATAGATAAAATATTCCCACATGCCATGCCGCAAGCCAGTCACTTTAGAGTTTTCTTTGAGAAAGTCCACTGGTTGAGTTCCAAAGATCCCCTAGCTTTGTTATCTGTAACAAAGTTGAATACAATAGGCTCTTGGAAAGCTGAACTAACTGGGTCACAAAAGAAAAAAATGAATTTGGAATTCTAAACAAAGGCTCTGATGGACTATACTCACTTCCCAAAACACCACATGTGTTTGACCTCATTATTTGTGCTGAAGAGAGGAAGATTTGTAGTAGAACAAAGGGATGGGGATGCCAGTCAGGAGTGAAGTGTATTGGCAAAACTCTGCAGAAATCTACACAGTACTTGCTGGCACTATGCCTGCTCATGGTGTTATGTTAGTCTTCTCTTTCATAAGCACCAAAAAGAATACCTAAAATACTCACATAGCAAAAGGCTGACACATTCTCTATAGTGCTTGCTTTCAGCAGAAATGCTCTCTTTCAGTTCACTGCCTCTATCACATCTTTGTTTTAAATGCGTCATTGTTCCACAATTTAATGGTGGTTCATCATTTTTATGAAAAGTACTGAGAGTATTCATTTTTTAGCTTCAAGAACCATAGATCAGCAAGAGAAAAGTACATTGTGGTGGACAGCTATTTTCATTATTTAAAAAAATATTTTAGATGTGTACATTACGTGTGGCCACCCTTGGCTGGGTTTGTACTATTGCTAGGATAACGAACAGCCTCTTTTATAGTTGCTCTTTCTACCTCTTTAAGGGTACACTATTTCTTGAAAGGTCAGTTAGGAATGGGGTCCGTGTGGAATGCTGGGTCATCTAAAAATGTGATAGATACAAGTTATTATAGTGTATAATAGTACTCTGCACTTCTGTGGCTCCTGCTTTCTGAGGAACTCAAAGTTCTTGCCAAACGCTAATAAAATGAGGGTCAGCACTTATACGAGAGAGGTGGTATTATCCCCACTTTACAAATGGGACAACTGAAGTAGAGAGAAAGTGTGGGGATGCGGGAGAGATGTTAAGTAAGTTGCCAAAGGTCTCACGAAGAAGTCAGTGCCGGAGAGGGGAATAAACCCTAATAATCAGTTGACTGTTCTCTCTACCAAGTCACATGCTCAGCATGTCTATATAGCAAACGAAAAAACACAGCTGAGGAGAGTCACATAGCCTGGGTCAACTGCTTCAGGCTCATGCTACAACAGGGCTACAATTTAATACCAGGGTAGGTGTTCCTGAATGGGCTAGAAGTCGAATTCCTTGCTGGGGTTCAGAGCTCAGGCTGCAGCCTGAATGGGAATGCCTACATGACTATTTTTAGCCTCACAGCACAAATCTGACTTAATTGACTTAATCATAAGTGCTACTATGATTTTACAGTGTAGATGGATCTCAATTAAAATTACTGTATTCTTAATGCCCTTCCTTATATAACTCCATTAATATCATTACAAGCAGTGAGTAGTAGCACTGCTGAAATACACAGTCAAATGAAAACAGAACAGCCACTGAGAGAAATAACCAGTGAAGACAGTTCCGTGGAAAGAGAGTCGTGGTAGTTTGCATGCTTCAAAAATGTCTTGTTTTCAGCAGTAGATGATGTGGTGTTAGACATCCTGCTTAGTCTAAAGAACCAAAGAAAACATTGCACTGGTAGTAGACCGTTTACACAAAACAGTCCATTGTAATAAAAACACAGTTTTGTATCCAGAACGTATTGTGATTAATATTAGTGTGTGTGTAATGTTAAATTCTTTCAGCCCACTGGCTGGCTTCCTTCCAAGTCAAGCCACATAAAGAGATCCAGATAATGCTTCCCTCCCACCCCACATGCTGTTTTCACTAGGTCTTCTAAATCAGCTTATTTTAGCATTCCAGCATTGCCTAGGGAGACTTTAACATCTATTGGTATTATGTGGCAGAATCCTTGATTTTCCTTGACTATGTTTTGAGAGCAAATTTGGGCTAGATCCATAAAGATGAATTAGGCTCAGAATTGCAGAGTATAATTTTAGACTTGCTGTTACCCAGTGGAATCAACAGCCTGCAATTAGGCATCCAGGTTCCTCATATAATGCATGGGGAGCAAGAGGAATTTAAGAATGAGATTCACAAAGACGGGCAAGTTGAGTAAAGAGCCAGAAATAGAAGATGCTGAGGAGAGGCTTTAGAGGGAATTAGACATATACCTCTGCATGGGATTTGCAGCCATGAAATGTTTGGTGGGTCCTTTTTTTGGAGGACAAAAAAAAACACAGCTGAGGAAGAACTGTTCTGCTTTTTATCTTATAGCTCAGTAGTTAGAATACTCACCCAAGATGTATGAAATGCAATTAAAGTCCTGTTCTTATAGAACAGGGACCCAAATTTAGGGTCCCACATTCCACATCCTGGCTGAGTGTCCTCATGTCACAGGGTGACTAGCCCCTTGTGGGGGAGGCTTCTAGTACACCTGTGACTGATTACATGCTGCTGAATTATGTGCATGGGAAGGTACCCTTATAGGGGCGGGGTGGGGAAGTAGTACAAGGCTATAGGCAAGTCTGAGGATTTAGGGCTACCCCCTGCCAACGTAAGGAGGGAAGCTATGGGGGAGATAGTCAGATATCTGGAGCAAAGAGCAGATTGTGTTGAAATAGGAGCAGATTCCAGTCACAGAGGAATGAGTAGATAGCAGGCATAGACAGCACTCTAACAAATTTGGCAGACAGTACTAAATTAGGAGTGGTAGCAAGTGCTTTAGGGGACAGGATTAGAATTCAAAATGGTCCTGACAAAGTGTAGAAGTGGTCTGAATTGAATAGGATGAAATTCAATAAGGACAAATGCAAAGTATTATGCTTAGAAAGGAATAAACAAGTGCACTAAGGCAAAACGGTAAATGATTGCCTAGCAAGGAATTATGCAGAAAAGAACCTGGGGATATAGTGGATTGCACACTAAATGAGAGTCATCACTTTAATGCTGTTGCAAAAAACAAAATCCCAAATATAATTCTGGGATATATTAGCAGGAATATAGTAAGCAAGACACAGGAAATAGCTCTCCCGCTCTATTCAGTGCTGATAAGGCTGCAGCTGGAGTCCTGTATCCCATTCTCAGCTCTACATTTAAAAAAAAAGATGTGGACAAAGTAGAGAAAAGTCCAGAGGAGAGCAACAAATATTTAAAGGCACAGAAAACCTAACCCGTAAAAGAAAATTGAAAAGAATGGGTATGTTTCTTCTAATGAAGAGAAGAATTAGGGGGGACATGTCTTTAAGTATGTATTAGATTGTTTTAAAGAGGAGGGTGATAAATTGTTCTTCTTACCCACTGAGGACAGGAGTAGTAATAATGTACTTAAATTGCAGCAAGAGAGATTTAGGTGAGATATTAGGAAAAGTTTCTTTCACATGCTGGATGAGTGCTCTAACCTCTTGGCTGATGGGATATAAGGATTGGGGGTGATGCTACCATATCCTGTGGCTATGTTTTGTGAGGGAGACCAATTCAGAAGATGTGCCAATTTGATAGGCAGGGTAAGTCTAGTTTGTAAATCTTGTCAGGGCTTAGATGTGAGTTAGCTACCGGATATCAGGACTGAAGTGCATTTGTACATATCCAGGCACTATGGGGACTTTAAATAGCAACAGAGAGGGATTTTGAAGGTAAAATTAAATACAGACATAAATGCATGTATACTTAGAGTTTAAGTTAGAATTGATTCATATTTGAATTGCAGTGGAGACCATAAAACCTTCTCTGACTTAATCTGTCCTAGAAATGTGAGAATCCAAAGTACAGTAAACTTCCGATAATCCGGCACCTTTAGGACCCAGGGGGTGCTGGATTATCAGATATGCCGGACTATCGGAAGGGGGGGGCTATGAGGGGCCTGGGGTGGCATCCTCCCCACACCACCCTAGATCCCTCATAGCATCCCCTTCCGATAGTCCGGTATATCTAATAATCCGGCACCCCCTGGGTCCTAAAGGTGCCGGATTATCGGAAGTTTACTGTAGCATATGACTTAAGACCTAAAAGCAGTACCAGTCTGCCTTTGTTTTGTTGTAACTGCAGGATGACGACAACTGCCAGGTTTTTATGCTGGCAAGCTCAAATGTCAAGCAGTTTTTAATTTCCAAGATATAAGGGTTCCTGATTCAGCCGCTGCTGGTCAGTTTCAGCAGTGGCTGAATCAGGACGCCTGGGGCAGAGCAGCTGGGGTGCTGCTTGGTTGGTCCAGTAGCGAGGGGCAGCACTACGGGACCAACCCAGCAGCACCCCAGTTGCTCTGCCCCCGGCTTCCACGATTCAGCTGCTGGTCAGTTTCAGCAGCAGCTGATTGGGGAAACCGGGGCGCAGAGCAGCTTCAATTGTCTGGCAGCCAGAACACTTCCGGGTTCCTGATGGTGCCGGACCATCAGGAGTGCCGGAGCATTGGATGCCGGACCAATGGAGTTTTACTGTACCTATGTTGCCAGGTGAAGTGTTCACTGTTGCAAAGTTTCTTTCCAACAGAGGAGCAGTATTTACATGGAATAATCCAGTTTGAAATTTCAGAATATGCTTGTGCAGGTGGTGTTGGAGAGAGGGCTTTGGTTTCTTCAACCATGGGACTCTGTTCCGGGCACAAGGATTGTTAGGAAGAGATGGGATCCACCTAACCAAGAGAGGAAAGAGCATCTTCGTGGGCAGGCTTACAAACCTGTTGAGGAGGGCTTTAAACTAGGTTTGTGGGGGATGGTGACCAAAGCCCTGTGGTAAGTGAGGAAGTCGGATACCGGGAAGAAATGCAAGAAGGAACGAGCAACAAGGGAAGATTCCTCATTCAGATGGAGAAGGTAGGGCAATCAACTGGCTATCTAAGGTGTTTATACACAAATGCAAGAAGTCTGGGAAACAAACAGGAAGAATTAGAAGCCCTGGCCCAGTCAAAGAACTACAATTTGAGTGGAATAATGGAGACTTGGTGGGATGACTCACATGACTGGAGCACTGTCGTGGACGTATATAAACTGTTCAGGAAGAACCGGCAGGGGAGAAAAGGAGGAGGAGTTGCATTGTATGTAAGAGAGCAGTATGTTTGCTCGGAGCTCCAGTATATAGAGGGAGAAAAGACTGTTGGGAGTCTATGGGTTAAGTTTAGAGGTGGAAGCAACAGGGTTGATGTTGTGGTTGGTGTTTTCTATAGACCGCCAGATCAGTTGGATGAGGTAGACGAGGCTTTTTTCAGACAACTGAGAGAAGCTTCCAGATCGCAGGCCCTGGTTCTCATGAGGGACTTTAATCATCCTGACATCTGTTGGGAGACAAATACAGCAGTACACAGACAATCCAGGACATTTTTGGAGAATATTGGGAATAACTTCTTGGTACAAGTGCTGAAGGAACCAACCAGGGGCCACGTGCAGCTTGACCTGCTTCTCACAAACAGGGAGGAACTAGTAGAGGAAGTAGAGGTGGGTGACAACCTGGGAAGCAGTGATCATGAGATGGTAGGTTTCAGGATCTTGACCGAAGGAAGAAAGGAGAATAGC